TTTATATTTTTTCTACATCGGCTGAAACATCGCCAACTTTATTTTAAATTCCTGTCGGCTGAAATATCGCCTTCATCAGGATTTCGTGGGAGATGATTTCAAGAGCCAGGGGTCTCATGTTCCATACAACGTTGCTGACTTCTCTACACAGGTTCTTGTCCTGCACATTTTCTAGTAATTGTATATTGGGCCTGCACATCACTGCCCTTTTTATGCATAATTATTTTGATTTTCTCGCTCCAATTAGTTTACATAGGCAAAGCAATATTAACTGGCCTATTTTTTGTTGGTATTTAGGCTTCTCAAAGTGGATATGCTGTTGATTATGTAACTTCTAAGGAGCACAGGCTGGTTTTTCCTAGGGAACTTCTTAAACCAGAATTCGCAATCTGGATACTCCCGTTTTGGTTCAGGAAATGAATTCATGTCACAGGTTAATTTTAATTGTTCACTCCTTTGGCCCCTTAATGTCTCAAACTTTAAGGCCTGGAAAGCATGCATTTAAATATGAGAGTCTGGAAGTTTTCACAAGTTCATCATACATGATGGGCTGATCTGTTAGCTCTTCTGACTGGCTGGCTTTGGTAGACAAGTAAATTGAAGTGGTCTCTTATGATTTCTTTTCTCTTCATCTTCCGGTTGGACTTTTGCTCATCGGACTTTTATTTCTGGTGCAGGACTACATGGCTCATGGATCCCAAGGTCTCTTTACTCAAGCTGGATACAATAATCCATCACAAGATGATGGTTCACAGAATCATTTTGGCATGTCCAATGCATCTCTTCAGTCTCAGGTTAGTTTATTAAATAATTCTGCTTGAGAGTTGGCTAAATTATTGACACGCACAAAATAGGAAATATGGATTAGGTGAACTCCACTACATTCCACAAATGATTCTTCACGGGAATGTAATGCCAGGGGACTTCGCTTGTTAGAAAATATTTTCTTCTTGCTATTAGTTTATTTCAACTAGTCTAATGTGACTTGGATGATTGAGGTTTTCCTTGGAATAGCACTTGAATTTGATTCCACTTTTTCCAGAGTTCGCTTAATCCGCTTTACTCCCAACCATTTGCTCACTACAACACGCAACCATTTAACATGCAAAGCCAACCTCAACAGCAGCAAGCGCCACAAGGCCAGGGCTTCCAAAATCAGAAACTTCACTACAATAGTTGAAGATCGCAGGCTTGTTTATGTGATGGGTTATAGTTTGCTTCCAGCAATTTGGTTTATGCTGTCAACACGTGGACCATATTATCTGACCTAAGATGAGGTAAAGAGTTTGCTAATAATTCAGGTCAAATGGTGACATATCCCTTGCCAGTGATTCTGAATGTTGAGTCAGAGGGCTGGAGTGGTGGAAGGCTCTCTGCTCAAGTAAACCATGCGCAGCACAACTGGTGCTGAGAAAGGAAAAATAACCCATGTTATCTTCGTGAAGTTTTACGTATTGTTTGAAGAGAAAGTAATACTATTTCTCCGGGAGAGAAAGGTTACATGGCATGGTATTGGCCGGAAGGGTGGGTTATTCAGGACACGGAGCTTGCTACTTGCGCATTGGAAGGAGTACAACATTGTTTGAAGCTGCGACCATATCTTTTGTACAGTGTCCAGGCGAAAGTCAGCTAACCCTTTCAGCTCTTCCTGACATGTAATTAAACTCTTTAGTATTTGTATTACGTGGATAATGACGATAATTATAGATGTGTTTATGTTTCAGCACTTGAGGTATATAAACATGCAGGTATTAGTCATTTGATTTAACTGGGTTGCTTGTAATCCAGTATCATTTTTTTGTGGATGTCTTTTGAAGCGTTTTGCTTGGAGGAGTAAATGGAAAAAGGAATATGAGTACTTCAGCACTGCATTCGTTCGTTTTGCCACCTCCATGGCATCTCCCATCTAATTCCTACCTTCCATGGAGAATTGCCTTTCGAGTTTTTAGAAAAACTGTCGTGTCAGTGAAAAGAACTCTATTTATTACACTAGCGCGGTTGTTTTCTTGCTTATTATTTTTCCCTGATTACATGTAGCGCGCTTGACTAGCAAGATGGAGCATTTTTTTTGCTTGGCTGAAGCCATATAAGGCTTAAAGGGATTTTATGTTTAGGGTGCATCCAGATGAAATCTTGCCCTGGACGAACGTTAATTACTAATATGGAATTAACTTTAAGATGATGTAATTAATTCAAGGGATTTTTTCTTATCTATACCATATATGAAACCTTATTACCAAAAATGTGCATAATTTCTAAATTACCCGCCCAGTCCACATTATTTCTACAGTTTTTGTACCAATCATTAAAAGCTAATTAATAGCAGTTGTATCTTCCTATTTATGCGAGCTAAATTTTAGGAGAAGAATATTCTGAACAGATTTGGCGTGAATATTCTGAACAGATTTAGGAGAAGAATATTGAAACGGAAAGGAGATTTCTGTTTTTCATCTTCATCTGTTCTTCCATATATTTTCCACCATTGATAGCCATTAAAAAGCTTGAAAGCTTTGAATTNGTCTCCATTAAATGACTTCAAATTTTATATACAACCTCCTTATACTATTTCTAACAATTCTAGATAATACCCACTCCAAATTTCTCACAAAATCAAATTCGGAATCTAAACCACATATTTAAGCTTGTTAAAAATCTAATTTTCACTATCCAAATGGATTTGATTTGTTGAACTAATACTTGAGTTACAGTTACTGATTCGAAAATTAACTTAAAAGCTTGAGCAATCTTTGTTAAAAATTAAAATAGCAATTTTGAGAACCTATTGAAGTTAGATGTTGAATTTCAAGAGTGAATTAATTATTTTTTTCCTAAATTTTCCTTGGAGTAAATAGTGTTGGAATATGTGTTATGAGTGTTTATGTGAGATAGTAAAGGTTAATATGGTTAATTCCATTGCTAATTAATACTAAAAGGTAGATTTCTTAATCTGTATGAAAACATTCAAAAAATCACTTATTTTGGACCGGAGGGAGTACATGGTAAAATACACTTAACCACAGCATAAAATATCTATATTAATGAGTTTCAATAGAAATGTAGGAGTATCTTTTTAAAGAAAGAATTACAACAAAATACACTTGACTTCACACCATAACAAAAAATGGCCCATATTTTTAAGTTTTACACGACCTAGCCCGTATGGTACATATTTTGAAAGCATTAGCAAATTCAAAATCTGTTTTCTTACAACCATTGCTTCTAAAAGCTATGGAGTTAAATCTATATTCTCACAACCATTGCTTTCACTCTCTTTTCTTCTCACATCTTCTACATATGCTTCAAGGGGCCGTCCGTCATTACTGCTTCTTCCCTGTGTCACCTGGTTGCAGTGTAAGAAGATCGAAGATTCAACATTCCACCATTGAAGGCCATTCAAAGCTTTGCTTTCAAAAATAAGATTTTTTGAGTTTGTTAGTTGTTTGGATTGGGTGTTGTTCCAATTGATTGAAAATATCAAAAGGAGTTCAAAATTTAAATTTGAAGTGATTTGAGCAAGATCTGAGTTAAATTTCAGAAAAAACGTAAGGAAGAAGACGAAGTCAGTTTTTTGTATAATTAAGTATAATCTTGTATAATTGTGTATATGAGTGTATAAACACATCTTATACATTTTTATACACCTTTATACAAGCGTCTGTAGACGAACTTCTTCCACGATTTTCAGTTCCAATTCTTGTTCAAAATTAGTCAAAGTCTCCATTAAATGACTTCAAATTTTATATACAACCTCCTTATACTATTTCTAACAATTCTAGATAATACCCACTCCAAATTTCTCACAAAATCAAATTCGGAATCTAAACCACATATTTAAGCTTGTTAAAAATCTAATTTTCACTATCCAAATGGATTTGATTTGTTGAACTAATACTTGAGTTACAGTTACTGATTCGAAAATTAACTTAAAAGCTTGAGCAATCTTTGTTAAAAATTAAAATAGCAATTTTGAGAACCTATTGAAGTTAGATGTTGAATTTCAAGAGTGAATTAATTATTTTTTTCCTAAATTTTCCTTGGAGTAAATAGTGTTGGAATATGTGTTATGAGTGTTTATGTGAGATAGTAAAGGTTAATATGGTTAATTCCATTGCTAATTAATACTAAAAGGTAGATTTCTTAATCTGTATGAAAACATTCAAAAAATCACTTATTTTGGACCGGAGGGAGTACATGGTAAAATACACTTAACCACAGCATAAAATATCTATATTAATGAGTTTCAATAGAAATGTAGGAGTATCTTTTTAAAGAAAGAATTACAACAAAATACACTTGACTTCACACCATAACAAAAAATGGCCCATATTTTTAAGTTTTACACGACCTAGCCCGTATGGTACATATTTTGAAAGCATTAGCAAATTCAAAATCTGTTTTCTTACAACCATTGCTTCTAAAAGCTATGGAGTTAAATCTATATTCTCACAACCATTGCTTTCACTCTCTTTTCTTCTCACATCTTCTACATATGCTTCAAGGGGCCGTCCGTCATTACTGCTTCTTCCCTGTGTCACCTGGTTGCAGTGTAAGAAGATCGAAGATTCAACATTCCACCATTGAAGGCCATTCAAAGCTTTGCTTTCAAAAATAAGATTTTTTGAGTTTGTTAGTTGTTTGGATTGGGTGTTGTTCCAATTGATTGAAAATATCAAAAGGAGTTCAAAATTTAAATTTGAAGTGATTTGAGCAAGATCTGAGTTAAATTTCAGAAAAAACGTAAGGAAGAAGACGAAGTCAGTTTTTTGTATAATTAAGTATAATCTTGTATAATTGTGTATATGAGTGTATAAACACATCTTATACATTTTTATACACCTTTATACAAGCGTCTGTAGACGAACTTCTTCCACGATTTTCAGTTCCAATTCTTGTTCAAAATTAGTCAAAGTCTCCATTAAATGACTTCAAATTTTATATACAACCTCCTTATACTATTTCTAACAATTCTAGATAATACCCACTCCAAATTTCTCACAAAATCAAATTCGGAATCTAAACCACATATTTAAGCTTGTTAAAAATCTAATTTTCACTATCCAAATGGATTTGATTTGTTGAACTAATACTTGAGTTACAGTTACTGATTCGAAAATTAACTTAAAAGCTTGAGCAATCTTTGTTAAAAATTAAAATAGCAATTTTGAGAACCTATTGAAGTTAGATGTTGAATTTCAAGAGTGAATTAATTATTTTTTTCCTAAATTTTCCTTGGAGTAAATAGTGTTGGAATATGTGTTATGAGTGTTTATGTGAGATAGTAAAGGTTAATATGGTTAATTCCATTGCTAATTAATACTAAAAGGTAGATTTCTTAATCTGTATGAAAACATTCAAAAAATCACTTATTTTGGACCGGAGGGAGTACATGGTAAAATACACTTAACCACAGCATAAAATATCTATATTAATGAGTTTCAATAGAAATGTAGGAGTATCTTTTTAAAGAAAGAATTACAACAAAATACACTTGACTTCACACCATAACAAAAAATGGCCCATATTTTTAAGTTTTACACGACCTAGCCCGTATGGTACATATTTTGAAAGCATTAGCAAATTCAAAATCTGTTTTCTTACAACCATTGCTTCTAAAAGCTATGGAGTTAAATCTATATTCTCACAACCATTGCTTTCACTCTCTTTTCTTCTCACATCTTCTACATATGCTTCAAGGGGCCGTCCGTCATTACTGCTTCTTCCCTGTGTCACCTGGTTGCAGTGTAAGAAGATCGAAGATTCAACATTCCACCATTGAAGGCCATTCAAAGCTTTGCTTTCAAAAATAGATTTTTTGAGTTTGTTAGTTGTTTGGATTG